AAGGAATGGAGACTACACAGAATACTCTGTTTGTAACAATAGATATCAATTCTCTTTATACTAATATTAGACATCAAGATGGGATTGAGGCTGTGAAATGGGGTCTGAAGATTTTTTCGGACCTACATTTAAAACAGAGGAAGTTTATTATTCAATTGCTCGAGTTTAGTATGAGTAAAAACTTTTTTTGGTATAAAGGGGAGTTTCTATGAACAAAGGAAAGGCGTGGCGATGGGCGCCAAGTTTGCCCCTAGTGTGGCAAATATCCTTTTATCGAAATGGGAAGATAAGATCATTTTTGGTAAACAATGGGAAGGCCTAAAAATCTGGAGAAGATATATTGATGATATTTTTTGATCATCTGGGAGGGTACAGAAGATAATTTGAAGATTTTTTTAGAGGTTATAAAAGACAATGAATATGGTTTGAGTTTTATATGGAAAATTGATAATGAATCGGCCAATTTTTTTTAGACTTGAATATTTTTAAATATGAAAATAAAATCTGTTTTTAAACCTTTTTTTAAGGAGACTGACAGGAATGGGTTCATTCCCACGACAAGTTGCCACCATCCTCAATGGATTCGTGGGATACCGATTGGACAATTTTCAAGAATAATGAGGAATTGCTCCAAATTAGAGGATTATATAATTCAATCAGAATTGATAAAACAAAGATTTATATAATGAAAGGATACAACCCAATCGAATTGGAGAAGGCAAGATTTAAAGTTAGTAAAAACTATATAGGAGAAACTAAGATAAAGACTGAACCTAAAAAGAGAAAAGATAAAAATGTGGTAGATTTTGCCTTTATTTCAAAATTTAATTGTCAGTACAAAGAAGTAGAGGGTATTTTTTAAAAAAATATTGGCCCATTCTGAAAATAGACCAAACATTGAGAAATGTATTGCCTGCCCAACCCCAGTTTGTTTACAGAAAAAGTGATAATCTTCAGTCCTTACTAGTTAAAGGGGCCATTTCACCCCCCAGAAAGAAAATGATGTTTGATCTACAGGGGTTCTATCCTTGTAAAAAAATGTAAAATATGTAAAGTGACAGGTATCAAGGAGAGAAAAATCTCGAATCATAAATCAGTCTATACAGGAGAAGAATTTAATATAAAAAAAAATTTATTACATGCGATACTAAATATGTGACCTATGTTTTAGAATGTCCTTGCCCATTACAATATGTAGGTAGAACAAAAAGGAAGTTGGGTACTAGACTAAAAGAACATGTGACCAATATCCTAAAAGGTAAGAAGGACCATAGTGTCTCCCGTCACTTTAAAGAATACCATAACTCAGATCCTAGTGTAATTAAGTTTTGTGGTATTGACATGGTTGATTCCCATTGGAGAGGTAATAACAAGGTAAAGAGTATATCACAAAATGAGACATATTGGATTTTTAAATTGAATACTTTAAAACCGAATGGTTTAAAATATTGAACTAGATTTGAACTGTTTTATTGTGGATTTTTTAACAATATATTTTAGTAGATATTTTACTTATATTTTAGAATTAATATGTTATTTATATTCATATTATAGGATATTGTTTGTAAAATATAACCATATGTATGAGGGAAGTTTATATGGATTCATGAAATTAACGAGTGGAATCATTGAGGTAATATAATTTTATATGAAATAATTGTTAATAATAATTGTAGGATATTTGAAATTTTTAATTATTCATTTTAATTTTTTTAATTATATACTATCTTATGTATTAGTACAAAAAGAAAAATTAATTAATTTTCAGGTGTTAGATTATGTGTCTTGAATTACGGGTGTAGGATAGGGGTAAATATTAATATCGATATATGGATTTCCAGGCATTAGAATAAGTGTATTGGGGATGAATAATAATATAGGGCAGAAGTCTATAAATTATAGAAATGCCTTTTAATTTTGACCAGTAGAGGGAGCCTTTAGTATGTGCTTTAGTTGTATATGTTCAAAATTAAATAGATATGTTCTTTAATAATTATAAATATGTTTACATCATATCTTGATATATTTAGATATTTTATTTGTGAGATCTTGATGGTTCTTTGGATATATACATGTGTGTGGTCCTATGGAGTATACACTTGTATTTATGTATCAAGATAGGAATGGTAATGTAATTGGTCCTGGTATTATATGTAATGTACACTGTATTTGTACCTTATATGTGGTGTCTTACCTTATAGAGGTATAAGGTTTTAGTTATGTATAGGTGGCAGCTCTATTTTTGTATTAGATACAATGCAGTCAGGTGTGGGCAGCGTTTTCCAGCTTCCAAGATGGCGTTGAGTGGTGCCGTTAATGTAGGAAGGGCGGTACATAAGGAGTCAATGCGCAGACGTCCTTACCCTTCTGAAAAAGTCAAAGGAAGTGACGAAACGCGTCAAGGACACGTGACGTCATACGCATCGACGTTGACCGGAAAGTGCGATCGCGGCCATCTTGGAAGTGGGAACATGCGGTTTATGTTTCCCTGAACCTGTCCATGTGGACACTGCTTGTGAGGAGGAGCTGTTACCACGGAATTGTTATGTGAGTTACCAATAAAGAAGAATATCTTTTATATTTGTGACTGGTTTTCTGGAGGAAAGTGGAAGAAGTGACCCTAGTCTTTGGAGAAAATCGATAAGAGGAGAGTGTAACCCAGAGTGGTTAATCTGCCCTGCTGTTTCTGCTATAGGGTAATTACCCATCCATATTAGAGTTGGGGAGTGGTGATCTGGGTTTTGGTTATCACCTTTTTATATATATAGGGTGTTGTGTTATACACTGTCAGTGTGATTTGTGAAGTGGTTTTACACATTGCATTGCATATCCTATGTGAATGTGCTTTCACTCACATTGTCATTTCACTTATTTGTATGTGTTTTGACACTTGGTTTGAGTATACACGTTTATTTTTGCATGCTGCACAGTGAGTGGCACGTGTGTTTTATTATTTAAGGTATGACACTATGTCGAGTTTTTTTTTTTTTTTTTTCCTTTTTGAGGTACACGAATATCAGGATTTTCGGGTATTAAGAAGGTTTTTGTGATGAAAGAAGAAGGAAAAGTTTAAGTTTTGTGTTACACTTGTGAGGATTATTTTTTTGGGATTTTTGATTTTAATTTTGGACACGGTGGGACTTTGGACATTATTTTATTTTATATAATTTTTATAATTTTATAATTTTCATATAATCTTTTTTGTTTTATTTCATTTGATTTGATGTATTTGCTCATAGAAAAGTCACATATATATTGTTAAATCCCATGCATAACCTTTTACATTGGTGTTTCTTCATTGAACAAATGGTTTTAAAGGATAAGTTCATCATATTCTGGGCATAACATGTTACGAACTGAGCGCCCCTCCCCCCCCAATACCCTTGTTGACAGGGGCAAATTTCTCCCCCCTCCCCCCTAGCTGTCAGATGTTTAAAAAATACGACTGTGCCTCACCCACCCGGGCGTGTCACTCATACACAGCATTCTGTGAATGAGAGACTACAAGTCCCTACAGCCTTAGGCTGGCCATACATGGGTCGAATTTCTAATGATTTTTCGTTTGAAAATCGGACCTAAGAATAATTAGCTGATTTTCGCTGTTAGTGGGGCAATGGCCCCGGCCAATTTTCATGGTTCCTCCCCATTTCGTTTATCAGGCATGCTGGAAAATTCATGAAATCGACTGATTTTCAAAATCATTGGTGGCACCATCGGATTACAGAATGAACGTTGTTTTTGATTTTTGATCGGAAAATCGGTCAGAATTTGACCCATGTATGGCCTGCTTTAGCGGCTGTCAGCTTGAAGTCTTCAATGAACTACCACAGTGCTGTGGAGCGCCATGGTAGTTCATTGAATCTTCCTGTCAGTATACCTGCTTCCTCATACATCTCGTACATCCTGTACAAGCAAGCAGATATTCTGACAGATCTGCAGGAGACCTGCATGGCTGGTCTGAGTATTTCACAAATTGCTGATCTACTGGGATTTTAATGCACAACCTTCTCTAGGGTTTACAGAGAATGGTCCGAAAAAGAGAAAATATCCAGTGAGGGTAGTTGTGTGGCGGAAAATGCCTTGGTGAGGTCAGAGGAGAATGAGCAGACTGGTTGCTGTGTCATTCAGATGGTAGGGTCCAGGGGCAGACTAACAACACACATGGGGCCCCTGTGTCCTTGCCAAAACTCAAAGAAGCCTATGAAAAAGGTACCAGGGACATCTCATGGGGCCCCCTACTGACCCGGGCCCTCGGGCAGTGCCCGATTTTCCAAATGGTCAGTCCGCCCCTGGAAGGGTCAGAGTTTGGCATAAACAACATGAAAGTATGGATCCATCCTGCCTTATAGCAACGGTTCAGTCTGGTGGTGGTGGTGTAATGGTATGGGGGAGATAGTGAATGCAGGGTCCGGGGAGAGTGGATATAGTGAATGCAGGGTCCGGGGAGAGTGGATATAGTGAATGCAGGATCCGGGGAGAGTGGATATAGTGAATTCAGGGTCCGGAGAGACCAGATATAGTGAATGCAGGGTCATGGGAGACCGGATATAGTGAATGCGTGGACTGAGGAGACCAGATATAGTGAATGCGAGGTCCGGGGAGACCAGATGTAGTGAATGCAGGGTCCTGGGAGACCAGATGTAGTGAATGCAGGGTCCTGGGAGACCAGATGTAGTGAATGCGGGGTCCGGGGAGACCAGATATAGTGAATGCGGGGTCCGGGGAGACAAGATATAGTGAATGCGGGGTCCGGGGAGACCAGATATAGTGAATGCGGGGTCCGGGAGATCAGATATAGAGAATGCGGGGTCCGGGGAGATCAGATATAGTGAATGCGGGGTCCGGGGAGATCAGATATAGAGAATGCGGGGCCTGGGGAGACCAGATATAGAGAATGCGGGGCCCTGGGGAGACCAGATATAGTGAATGCAGGGCCTGGGGAGACTAGATATAGTGTATGCGGGGTCCTAGGAGACCAGATATAGTGAATGCGGGGTCCGGGGAGACCAGATATAGTGAATGCGGGGTCCGGGGAGACCAGATACAGTGAATGCAGGGTCCGGGGAGACCAGATATAGTGAATGCGGGGTCCGGGGAGACCAGATATAGTGAATGCGGGGTCCGGGGAGATCAGATATAGAGAATGCGGGGTCCGGGGAGATCAGATATAGTGAATGCGGGGTCCGGGGAGATCAGATATAGAGAATGCGGGGCCTGGGGAGACCAGATATAGAGAATGCGGGGCCTGGGGAGACCAGATATAGTGAATGCAGGGCCTGGGGAGACTAGATATAGTGAATGCGGGGTCCTAGGAGACCAGATATAGTGAATGCGGGGTCCGGGGAGACCAGATATAGTGAATGCGGGGTCCGGGGAGACCAGATACAGTGAATGCAGGGTCCGGGGGAGACCAGATACAGTGAATGCGGGGTCCGGGGAGACCAGATATAGTGAATGCGGGGTCCGGGGAGACCAGATATAGTGAATGCGGGGTCCGGGAGACCAGATATAGTGAATGCAGGGTCCGGGGAGACCAGATATAGTGAATGCAGGGTCCGGGGAGACCAGATACAGTGAATGCGGGGTCCGGGGAGACCAGATACAGTGAATGCGGGGTCCGGGGAGACCAGATACAGTGAATGCGGGGTCCGGGGAGACCAGATATAGTGAATGCAGGGTCCTGGGAGACCAGATATAGTGAATGCAGGGTCCTGGGTTTAGGAACACTTTAAGGCTGTATTGATGAAAAAAGAACTGCATTCTTCTTGTCTTTTTCATCTTCCTAAAGTTCAGCATTAAAGTGCAATATGGTCCAACCAAAAGAGTTTTCAGAGGACATCATTAAAGTCACTGAGGCTCCTGTAACCCTTACTGTCATAATCTGCTCCATCAACTCTTTCAAATGCACAATGAATGAATAATAATGTCTGTATGTTTTGTGATGGGCTGTCCTTCAAGTTGTCATAGTGTAGGTGTGGTGGTCAGGTGTCCACACACGTATGGTCATATAGTACATACGCCCGCCTGTGGTATCACTTTGAGGGGTGGAGCTTAGAGCAGTAAAGAAAGCCACACATAATCATCTAATGTACCTACATGAGAGGCAAAGGAATACGAGCGTCATGGTTGGAAAAGAAACAAATTAGGCCAACTAGCCTCAAATGTATTTAAATATTTTGTGGCTGCTGACACATATACTGCCTTATGGCACCAAGATACTGAAATTCCCAGTTCTGCTAAACAGCTGTAGTCATTACAGAACCAAATCTTATTTTCATTTCCCCCCCGAAGTTACCACAATGTGAAGTCACTCAGGAAGAGATGCCAGCCACAGAGAGCAAAGCATAATGCAGTAGCATTGGACTAGTCTTCATACAGCGCCTTGAAAAAGTATTCATACCCCCTGAAATTTTCCACATTGTGTCACATTACAACCAAAAACATAAATGTATTTTATTGGGATTTTATTTGATAGACCAACACAAAGTGGCACATAATTGTGAAGTGGAAGGAAAATGATAAACGGTTTTCAACATTCTTTTACAAATAAATCTATGAAAAGTGTGGCGTCTGTTTGTATTCAGCCTCCCGGAGTCAATACTTTGTAGGACCCCCCTTTCGCTGCAATTCCAGCTGCAAGTCTTTTTGGGGATGTCTCTACCAGCTTTGCACATCTAGAGAGGGACATTTCTGCCCATTCTTCTTTGCAGAATAGCTCAAGCTCTGTCAGATTGGATGGAGAGCGTCTGTGAACAGCAATTTTCAAGTCTTGCCACAGATTCTCAATTGGATTTAGGTCTGGACTGTGACTGGGCCATTCTAACACATGAATATGCTTTCATCTAAACCATTCCATTGTAGCTCTGGCTGGATGTTTCGGGTCGTTGTCCTGCTGGAAGGTGATCCTCCGCCCCAGTCTCAGGTCTTTTACAGACTCTAACAGGTTTTCTTCTAAGATTGCCCTGTATTTGGCTCCATCCATCTTCCCAGTGCCATTAGTACAGTGTCAGTGCTTTTTATTGGAGCTGATCACTGTATTAGTGTCAGTCAGTCCCCCCCCCCCCTCCCCCCCCATGTCAGAATGCCCGCCACAGTCCTGCTATAAGTTGCTGATCACCGCCATTACTAGTATTAAAAAAAAAAAATCCATTATATATACTGCATTTGTAGATGCTATAACTTTCACATAAACCAATTAATTTACACACATTGGGATTTTTTTTCTGCAAAAGGCATGTAGCAGAATACATTTTGGCCTAAATTTATGACGAAATTAGATTTTTTAATTTTTTTTACTGGATATATTTTATAGCAAAAAATCAAAAATATTTTTTTTCTCAAAATTGTCGGTATTTTGTTGTTTAAAGCGCAAAACATAAAACCGCACAGGCGATCAAATTCCACCGAAAGAAAGCTCTATTTGTGTGGAAAAAAGGACGTAAATTTAATTTGGGTGCAGCGTTGCATGACCACGCAATAGTCAGTTAAAGTAACACAGCGCTTTAACACAAAAAATAGCCTGGTCAGGAAGGGGGATAAATCCTCTGGAGGGCAAGTGGTTAAAAGAAAAAAATTTTTTTACAAAAAATAAAATACAATAAAAAATAAAACCTGTGTAGTGCTGGTTCATGTGTTCTCATTTCAGGTAATTGGTGAGCACCTTCTGCCAGGGCAGTGCCTATAACATACACTAGATGGCGCTCTCTCCCTGTACATAAAGCTGCTGGAATAATGCACTGTATATCCCTCCAATTGTGTGTTGTTCCATAGATAGGTCCTATGGACACTGGACTGTGCGGTCATTAATATGATAATAAGCCATGGTTTGTGAACACACTTGGCATAATGTGGTTACGCCAGGGGCGGCCTAAAGTCATGTGGCCCCCGGGCAATAGGGGATCATGGGGCCCCTGTGTCCTTGCCCAAACTCAAAAAAGCCTATGAAAAAAGTACCAGAGGCATCTCATGAGGCCCCCTACTGACCCCGGGCCCTCGGGCAGTGCCCAAGTTTCCAAATGGTCAGTCCGCCTGCGTGCTGCTGCGTGCACTTTACACTGTGCAGTGATATTTGTGTTCAAACCACCAATATTTATCCTGAAGGTCGTTCTTCTCTTGGTGCCCCCCCCCCCCCTGCAGATCGATCATCCTGCACAGCACTGGGAGGATCTGAATTGGTGCTACAGGTAACAAGATCTGTTTTTGTTTCAAACATGTTTATAAAAAAAGACCCAAAATGAACATGAATACCGCTTCCTGTATAGCTGACCATGCACATACAACCTGATTGTACAATTTCATTTCGGTTTTCTCAGCCTAAAGGACAAGGATATCCACTGAATGGGTTCGGATAAGTTCACTTTAGGCTTAGTCAGTGGTCTTAAGTCGGCCATACACGAGTCGAATTCCGAAAGGATTTTCTTTCGAAAATCTTTTCTAAGAATTTTCATTCGAATTGTGCACCATTAGTGGGCCACAACAATGGACGATTTTCAAGCGACCATCGAATTAGAGTGATTGGGCATGTTGGAAATTTTTTTAAAAACTAACGAATTTCTAATCAATAATGGGAGAATCATGCCAGAAATATAATCGAAAAAGAAATGAGCGTGAGCTGTGATCTGGAATGAAAAGAAAATTCTTGGCCACGAAAATTCAAATGAATTTCTAATGAATGATGGGAGAATTGTGCAAGATATGTAATCGAACAAGAAATGACTTGTGACCTAGAAAGAAAAGAAAATTCTTGGCCACAAATATTCTAACGAATTTCTAATCAATGATGGGAGAATTGTGCAAGAAATGTAATCGAACAAGAAATGAGCGTGAGTTGTGACCTGGAAAGAAAAGAGAATTCTTGGCCACAAAAATTCTTTTCTGTGGCAACATGAGGGGAAATGAAAGGCTTGGTTGGTCGAATTTCAAAATCAATGGCGGCAACATCGAATTTCAAAATGCACAAAATTTCTGATTTCTGAAGAAAATTTGTTCGGAATTCGTCCCGTGTATGGCCTGCATTAGTCAGTGACCTTGCTTAAGCCGGCCATACATGAGTTGAATTCTGACAGAATTGTCTTTTGAAAATCTTTTCTAAGAATTTTTGTTAAAATTTTGCACCATTAGTGGGCCACAGCAACAGCCGATTTTCAAGTGACCATCAAATTTGAGTGATTGGGCATGTTGGGAAGTTTTTGAAAAACGAATGCATTTCTAATCAATGATGGGAGAATCGTGCCAGAAATATAATCAAAAAAGAAATGACGTGGAATGAAAAGAAAATTCTTGGCCACGAAAATTCCATTTTGTAGCAAGATGTGAAATTGAAGGCTTGGTTGAATTTCAAAATCAATGGTGGCACCATCGGATTACAAAATGCACGAAAATGTTGATTTCCTAAAGAAAATTCGTACAGAATTCAACCCATATATGGCCTGCATAAGGCTGGCCATACTCTATACAATTGTCTGTCCAATTTCTGCCCCTATTCCTTTAGATTTTTAGATCCTTCAGCTATGTAGTACAAGGGCCCGCCTAATTGGATACAATTGAAAGTGTTGTTTAGCTTTGACCTATTATATGGTTTTTGGTAAATCTAAAGCAAAATTCTCAATAAAATTTAATAACATATGGCCAGCCTGAAGCCGACCATACACGGGTTAAATTCCAAAAGAATTTTCTTTTTAGAAAATCATTTCTAAGAATTTTCGTACAGATTTGGCACCATTAGTGGGGCACAGAAACGGCCAATCTTTGAGCAACCATCAAATTTGAGTGATTGGTCATGTTGGAAATTTTTGCAAAAACTAACGAATTTCTAATCAATGATGGGAGAATTGTGCAAGGAATGTAATTGAAAAAGAAATGAGCGTGAGCTGTGACCTGGAAAGAAAAGATAATTCTTGGCCATGAAAATTCTTTTTTGTAGCAACATGAGGTGAAATGAAAGGCTTGGTTGGTCGAATTTTGAAATCAATGGTGGCACCATCGGATTGCCTACTCACAGGACATAGTGACAATTGTAAATGTTTGGGGATCTTCACAATGTACATTTATAAATTTCTAGATCTTTTGGATTTACCACTTGCCTACCGGGCACGTTTACCCCCTTCCTGCCCAGGCCAATTTTCAGCTTTCAGCGTTGTTACACTTTGAATGACAATTGCACGGTCATGCAACACTGTACCCATATGACATTTTTATTATTTTTTTTCACACAAATAGAGCTTTCTTTTGGTGGTATTTAATCACCACTGGGGGGGGGGGGTTAGTTTTTGCACTATAAGTGAAAAAATTGCAAAACATTTTAACAAAAAAAAAAAAGTTTTTCTTTGTTTCTATTATAGAATCCTCCTTCACTGATGTGCGTTGATGAGGCTGCAATGATAGGCAGCACTGATAGGCACTGATGAGGAAGCACTGATGGGCACTGATAGGATCACTGATGGGCACTGATGAGGCAGTAATGATTGGCACTGATAGGCAGCACTGATTGGCACTGATGAGGAAGTACTGATGGGCAATGATAGACAGCACTGATGAGGAAGCACTGATCAGGCAGCACTGATGAGGAAGCACTGATGGACACTGATAGGCAGCACTGATGGGCACTGATGAGGAAGTACTGATGGG